GCTATAAAAGTCAATTAATTTAAGACAATCAAGCGAATATACGCGAATATTATGGTGAATATACGGCCTTCAATACAGCGACAAGATGCGGCGAATTCGATCCTCGGCTTGCGTCATGTGATATGTTCTAGAGGTCTGGACACGAATGAATTTGGCCGGGGGGTATCTTGTGTTAGCTTAATTAATATTGGCGGAGACTTGACGCTATCGTTCAACTCCGCCAATATTCAACATGTGGTAATTTTTTTCAACATATTTTGAACGTTGAAGTTGTGATGGGTGCTAAATTCGCGGCATGTTCAATGTCCGGTTTAACTTCAATGTCAAAAACACATGGATGTTCAATGTCATATTTAACTTCAATGTCGAAAATATGTTGAATGTTTTGCATGTTCAATGCCGGATTTATCTTCAATGTCGAAAGCACGTAGGTGTTGAATGTCCTATTTAACTTCAATGTCGAAAATATGTTGAATGTTCTGCATGTTCAATGTCAGATTTATCTTCAATGTCGAAAGCACGTAGGTGCTGAATGTCCTATTTAACTTCAATGTCGAAAGCATGATATACATGAATATTGGCGGTGATATGACGCCATAGTCTGACGCGTGGTTTACACCATCAAAGTTTCTGTGATAATAATGGGAATTTTGCGTAGGTAAATTCTAAGTTTTGAAGGATTTGTCAGAAATGTTTGAGGGGACTGCGTCGGTGTTTAACATTACAAGGCATGCAAACTTTATTCATATATGGGGCAGGTGTCCCAGCAGATTTGGACCCCCCCAAAATGGACCCCCCCCCCCCAGTCCAAATCCGCTAGCGAATATGGACCTATGGGGTCTTTATTCGCTAGGGGATTTGGACTCCCCTCGCGAATTTGGACCCCTCGCGTATTTTATCATTGCAACGTATTGTATTTTGAATATTGTACAGAAAGCGTTTTAAATCGTCATAAATCTCATCTGATTTATTTTAAAAACCGCACGAAGATTTTTAGATCATCAAATCTTATAGATTTTTAGATTAAAGAATTCCGTCAAAGTTTATGATTTATATTTTTTCTGCTACATGGGTTTATTTCTATGATCTTGGAATGTGCGTGAACTGAGAAGCGCATGAAGCCTTCACAAGTATTTTACTCCTTGGAATTGCTATCTGCTCTGACTCTTAACTGCTCAAATAAAAACGGAAAATGAAAATATATTTCAAATTATTTTTGCCTTAACATACCCATAACAAAATGATGCATTCCATTCAACCCTAAACTTTTATAAAATTAGCATCTCAATACTTGTTTTCGTCATTTAGCAAATTCCAAGATAGTTGAGTCATGCCATTAGTTATCATAATTTCAATTAAACTGACGCCTAAATTTCCATGCACATTCAACTGCAAATCGTTTCAAAACGTCTTCTTTTTGTAAATTTTTAGGGGGTCCAATTCCGCGGAAGGGGGTACATCTCAACTAGCGGATATGTACCGTAGGGGTCCGAATCCGCTAGATGATATGGACCGGGGGGTCCATATCCGCGGGGAGTCCAAATCCGCTGTTACACCGGAGCAAAAGTAGACGGGGTACATACTTTTTTTGAGCTGCACAGAAGCGAGGCACCGCACAAGGGTTTTTTCCTGCCTTGCAAGGTGTGGCACACAAGGTGTAGCGCCGATGAAGGAGATCAAATAACTACAAATGAGAGGCCAGGGCGTGGTTTATTCTCTTTAGACGTTCAGACCCGTAGGGGTCGCAGTGCCAGACCACACATTTCAGCGATTTCCTCTAGCTGAACATAGCAAGCAACTGTACGGTAAGCACAGCTACACAAGCTTTCTTTACTGACAATAGTGCGGGGCAGCAAATTGTTTTAATAGCAAAGTTCCGAGCGGGGCTGGAGGTTTTTATCACACCAACCAAAGCGGGGCTTTCTTTTTTTTAACATTCAAAATTGATTTGTCCAGGGTACAATAAATTTTCAAGGCCCCTAACTCCGTTTCCTTCAAACGTTTCTTACAAACCCTTCAAAACTTAGAATTTACCGATGCAAAAATTTCTAATGTGATCACAGAAACTTTGATAGTGTAAGCCAGCCTTCGGACACGAGTGTTCCCAACTGAAGAAATGGGAAGTCCATTTCCCTTCACATGTGTAATTGATAGAGTTCTTCTCAGAATCATTTACTGTACAAGATATTTATCCTATTTCTTATCCTATAATGATGTAAAATATGTCTGGACCCCGACGTTCACAGTAATGCATGCTACTTTGTTATTTTACTTTGTCTAAAACCTGGTTCACATGCATATACTTGCGGTATTTCGGCGCGCTATTGTCGTTAGCAGTTCAACCAAATAATACACAATAGAATGTATGCATCAACAGCTGTAAACGATGATAGCGCAGGCGTATGTGATTAAAGTTTCTGTAATCACAGTAGGAATTTTGCATGGGTAAATTCTAAGTTTTAAAAGATTTGTAAGAAATGTTTGATGAAACAAACTCATTGTTTCACAATGACTCAGATTCCTCAAACGTTTCTTACAAATCCTTCAAAACTTAGAATTTATCTATGCAAAATTCTTGCTGTGATCACAGAATAGATACCGGACCAGAAGTGTCACTCCTGTGTGTTTTGGCTGAAGGAAAACGTCCGAATTTTTTTGCGTGCTATGACGCCATCCCGGAATGCACCCGGCACTTTGTGCCTATGTTTTCCTATGAAAAACTTCCGTGTGCACTCCAGGATGGCGTCATATGATGGCGTATTTTCACGTCAGCACTCGTAAAATTTCGGACAAAATATACGTCTGAGTGACACTTCTGGTCCTGTATCTATTCTGTGCTGTGATCACACTATCGTCATCATTGGTTTGAATTTTATTTCCCAACTGAAATTTCCCTAAAACATCGTTGAAGGTTGACCTGCAAATGCAACTGGATGAATATGCCAAAGCTGGATATCTTTGATCGCGTCGAGCTGATTTGCCCGAAACCACAACTCGTCTCTGCATTCAGAACACGCGACATATCGAAAGCAAAGCTGTATTATAGTATTTTCATCAGAAAATTTAATACAACGAAGGACATTGATGAACTGAGAAAGTCGTTGGCCAATGGTTCATTCTGTGATCCAACACACAATGAAACAAGTATGGATTGGTTTCATATGTATATTATCACCATCATCATTATCACCATTATCATCACCAACATCATCATCACCACCATCATCACCACTACAAACACCATCATCACCACTACAAACACCATCATCATCACCATCATAATCACCATCATTACCACTACAACCACCACCATCATCACAAACACCATCATCACGAACACCATCATCACAAACACCATCATCACAAACACCATCATCACAAACACTATCATCACAAACACCATCATCACAAACACTATCATCACAAACACCATCATCACAAACACCATCATCACAAACACCATCATCACAAACACCATCATCACAAACACCATCATCACAAACACCATCATCACAAACACCATCATCACAAACACATCATCACAAACACATCATCAC